TTACTGAGAGAGATTTTTGCTACAGGGTATGTGTGCTTGCCAGAAAGACAGAGGGATAGCAAGTGAGAAATCACCCCGCAGCCCCAGGGATTGTGGCCCCACTGCAATCCCTTCTCTTCCACTCTCCTCTTGGGATTTTGAGCACACACTCACTTGTGCCTAGTGTGATTTTCAAACCCCTAGGTCTGGGACTTGAACTGCCATCAACCATGTGGCAGTCCAGGACTTTAACCACTATGCCAACTGCTGGCCTTGATAATTACATCTTGTATCTTCCAAATTAGTTCCGTTGTATTTCCTTAAAAGGTGGCAGGGGAGAGATATAAGGGACAAGAAAGGAAATGGCAATATATTTTCTTGTTTTGTCGAACAAATAAGAAGGATGTATGTAAAGTCCCTAGCACATAATTAAAGTCTAACAAATGGTAAGTGCTATTAATAGTATAGTCCTCAAAATTGTTACTAATTATTTATTTATTCATTTTCAATTGTTATTATTTATTTATTTATTTATTTATTTATTTATTTTTGAGAGGATCTTTGCTATATATAGGGCACATGCTCTCGCCAGAAAGAGAGAGAGAGACAGAGAGACAGAAAGTGAGAAATCACCTCCAGGGGGGATGGCCATGCTACAATCCCTTCTTCTCCAGTCTCCTCTCGGGATCTTGGGCACACGCACACATGTACCTGGCATGAGTTTAAGCCATCAGGTCCAGGACTCGAACCATGGTCGACTACATGGGGGGTCCAGCGACATAGCTATGATGCCAATTGCTGGTCCTGATTATTATTAATTATTTATTAACAATAGCATAACTATATGACTTTTCAATTTTTTCCTTTCATTGTCATGTAAGATAAATTTTCTGTTTTGATAATAAAATAAAAAGTAAAACTTCTTTCTTGAAAAAAGAACAGAAATTGGGAACTTAATACCGAATGGGATTAAGAGGTGAAGACTTTGGGAAATGATTAAAACTCTACAACATGATCAGGGTGGGGCCTGCATGACTGAATACTGGTGGGTGCCTAGCAAGATGAAGTGAGACAGAACAAAGAGACGAACTCGGACATAGACCCACAGAAGCTCTTGTCATTTGATTCCTCGTGCCACCTTGATTCTGCAGAGTTCCCACCAACAAGAAGACCTTAATAAGATACATTCCCTTGACCTTGGACATCTAAAATCATGAACTAAATAAGCCTCTATCCTTTATGAGTTGTCAGTGTGGTATTCAGTTGTCAGTGACCAAAAAAAAAAAAAAAGGACTAAACCACTATTAAACTAGCTTCCATTTTAACAAGAAATCTCTTTTAATAGTAGCTATTTTCTAGGGGATTTTGAGATTTGTTCGGAATTTATAATCTTGAGTAAAAGTGAAACAGATTTAAAAAAGTGATTCCAAATACAAAGTTAATATATTTTAAAACATTTGAAACGACTGTGTAAAAGTACAGAGAAGAGGTGTAGAACAGTTACATCAGCTACTTAACTCGTTTGCTATGACTTGTATATAGCCCATATGGGCTAGAAGAGGTAAAAATTAAAGTCCATGAACAAAAATAAGTACTCATTAACCTTGATGCCCTTTTCTCTGTATTTGAGGTAATAATATTCAAATATACTTATTATTGCCTGGTTTATAACTGATGAGTAATGACTTTTCATAGGCTCTTAACTTTCTTTAAGACATCAGAGTTCATAATATTATAGACAGGATTTAAATTTACAACAGTAAAACTAGCAATGTTTAAAACTGTGTCTCAAAAATTTTTATCTCATATAGACTAACTCATTTCAAGGTGTATTTTTGTTTTGCCACGTGAATTACTTTCACTGAAATCTTAATAACATGCTTAGAGTCAATTTTACATCACTCTTTTGTAAATTATTCTTCCCCCCCCCAGTAAATTTCACCATTATGCATCAGTTTGCCAAAACAAAACAAAAACTTGGAATGTATGTCATACATATATCTTCAACAATTATTGTCAAGGAATTCTAATATTTCTGAAGTGCTGAAGTTTTTTTAAACAATGAGAAACTCTAGGATATATAAAGAGTGTTGCCAGTTTATATTAAAATGTGGTTCATTTAAATTGTCTCCTTTTTTTGTTAGCAACCTATAGTGCAGAAAATCTACACATATATTTATTTCTATCTGTACAATTGAAATCAAAATAAGATATATGGATAGATTTAGAGTAGTAGAATTATTTCCTAGCTTTATGAGGTTACTTCCTAGCTTAAGGGTTTTATGTGCAAAAGTTTGTGAAGATCAATTACATACTGCCCATATTCAGGACTAAATAGATGCTTATATGTATATTTTTTAAAGTTAGAGAAGGGGTGGTGAGAAAGATCATCCTAGTTTCTCTTTGATCTTACTAGGACATTGTTTAACCTTGGGCAAGTTCCTCAACCTGTTTGGACCTCAGTTTATATATTTGTAAGTTGAGAGAGATGAACGAGAGAAAGGCTCCTTTTGGACCTCAGTTTATATATTTGTAAGTTGAAATAGATGAATGAGAGAAAGGCTCCCTTAGGCTCCAAATTCTGTAAGTCTATGAAATAGGTATTGAAGATTAATAGAGTAAAAATGAACTCAGTAAAGTCAGTCAAGTGAGGATAAGTCTTACATGGATGCCAGGAAATGTATTTAGTCAAAGCGCATTTTGGCATTCATGCAGAGGCGCTCAAACTCTCCGAGTTGTTCTCATATCAAACAGGCCTGAGGTAAGAATTCACACGAGTTTGTCAACTTTATCTGTGGATAACTCTCTAAACGCTACCCAACTTTACCTAAATAAATAAAAATAAGAACTTACAGTTACGAGGTGAGAGGTTGAAACATTGTTTTGTGAGTTAGAGTACGGCAATCACGTGCCACTTATTGAGTTGGACGTGTTCTGAGAAATGAGTCATTAGTCATTCATCATCGTGCGAATGTCAGACGGCATAACCTACTGAACGCCTAGGTTACAGGATATAGCCTATTGTCACCACACTCATGCATACCACCTGTAATGGACTGCAATATTGTTACGTGATACATAGCTATTTTCTACATAAAGAGAGGATCTATGTCTCCCATTTAAATCTCATTTTAAATGCCCTTCCTGTGAAGTTATAATCTCCTGGCTTCCAGCTATGTCTTATATTTTGGCATACTGCGGCATTTTATATTTTAGACATTTTATAATCTTTTTGGCAGATGGAGGCTGAAGAATTCATAGTGAAGATAGAGCAGCTGTTTGAGTTAGATTTTGCTTTTTGTTTTGCTTTTGATGTGTATTTTTGTGCTACTAGTTCAGCAGAGATGAAAAAATAAGTAAGCACCCATCAGCTTACGAGGAAAAACAGTTGTAGAGGTCGCTTACACCATTATCTATATCCTAGAGGGAAACCAGTATTTTTGGAAATAGTTATCTGCGGCCCTTTAAAATTGGCCCCATGTTTTTCGTGAAAATTGGAATGGGAAAGGTTTTTGTAGAGATGCTGGTTATTTTGGATATTCTTACAAAAGTATCTGAATTGTGTGGTGACAAGAGAAATACAGGAGTGTGGAGTTGGTTCATATAAGTAATAAGTGTGATAAAGACAAAACTAAATATTCAAGTTTTAGAGACTGGAACAAATGATGAAGTCACAAATACAGGACAATATCGAGGAAGAAAGACAGGTTTAGTCTAGCACATGCTGACTTTAAATGTTAGTGGATCATCCAAACAAAAAGTGACAAACAAAACGTATGAAGGTGGGCTGGCTCCGTGACACAGCAGCAATGCACGGCTTAAAAGAAGCCCAATCTCACATGGTGATCACTAATTAGAATCTCTGGCCCAGTCAGCCTGAAACACACTGGGTATGCATGCAACTGCCCGGGATCTGGTGGACTAGAGGAAACGCATCACAGCATAACCAGACATTGCAGAAGGTCTCTCTTTCTCTCTCAATCTCCCAGTCTCTCTCTCCCCCCACTCTCTTTCATGCACACCCGTGCTCTATCATGAATAAGGAAACGAAGACATGTGCTAAGGTGCCAACGTGCTAAAATTCCATTAAACTTTGAATTCCTTAAGAGCATGATCTTTTTTGTATTCTAAATAATAATCTCATTGTCTCAAAGTGATATATGCCTAATATATCTTTTATTGACTAGAGTCCAGATTAATCGCAATTGAGCCTTTATGGTCACCCAAATCAACATACTAAAACAGTCCCTATACCCAAAATAAGTAGAATAACGGCCTTCCCTGTATGTTGTCTATAATATGCGTATTTCTAACTTATCACCTATGATTTTATTATAGTCAGATATTCAAAATGACTGTTTGTACTAAATTAAACCCATTTTGAAGATGGGACATTTCTGAGTTATTTCTTTTCTTGCACCTAATTTTACACTTGATGCAGAGTGTAATTTAACAAACAATTCCTGGTAAATAAATAAATAAATAAATAAATAAGTGAAATAATAGAAGTCATATCCAGGACTATAGAGAATCTGACTGAGGGAGTTGCTTTACATTTTAAATTAGTATTACCGTAAATTATTCCAATATTAAGTGCCCAAAGTGTTGAGTAATTTCTAAATAGATAAAAACTGATTAGTTTTAACATTTTCTCTACTTTCTGACATATTAGGAATAAGCATATTTAAGATCACTCTTAATTATAAGAACGTAATTCTTTTAATCTGTCATAACTTTCAAAATTATACTCTCAAGCAAGATAACTCAGCTGTAATATTATTCTTATACCTTTTTCCCCCTGAATTATTATTTGACGATTCTATGTGTGTTTAACAGACAGTCGCAACATTAAGAACATTAATCTTGTTATCCAATACAGACTTATTTTCACTTCACCTGACTGAGAATGGAAGTAAAAACACATTTAAAGTGTTAGTGATCTTTGTGTATCTGCTAAACCTTCTTACAGCTCACTGAGCAAAGCATCAATTTTGTTTTTTGTTTTTTTTTTTTCCTCTCAGCTTATCAGAAGTTTTCTGAGTTCTTCACAGAAGCAGCAACAATGGAAAAAATTCCAGTAGCATATTAGCAGATATCTTCTCCAGATGGCAGTCACTCTATTAACAGCAGGAAAGCAAACTTAAGCACCCAGCTTGCGTCCAATCCAGCACAAAGTTACTCTAAGAGAATATCTAAGATGGGTCATCAATTAAATTCACTCTGAGGGGCTATTAAGGTATAATATATTGTCAGTTCAGCTAAATTACACTTCTAAACAAAATCGGCTTCATTTGTCTTCTGTCTGTAGCTCCCCCTGTTGGCAGCATCACGCTGTTTACCCACAGCAGATGGAAAAATACCCAAGAGCAGCCGCAAATAACTCATCAGCTGCAAGGTCAAGCTATCTTCATATTTCTATCCAGCTGCTCATGGGTTCCAAGTTCTCATACCATCTCTCACAACTGAAATACATTGGTAATAAATAAATTCAGGGAGTATTGCCTCATTTAGAAGCCAGGTGAATTCTCTATCAGCATTTCTTATATTTCAGATCAGTCCTTCGTATAAATCTTCATGAAACATGTGTGCAGTTCATCTTTCAGAGTGTTAATGGCTAGCTGTGGCTTAAAATATTTTATTGTGAGAATTTTATTCAGGAGCCACTGTAGTTGATTAATTCTCTAAAAAAACTTGGTGAAAAGTTAGTAGGGATAAATGCCAATGCGGTTTTATGAACATCTCTTGATTTTTTAGGCAAATTGGAAAACTGAAACCAGGATTGGTGAACTTATGAGATGATGCTTGAATTGTTAGAACTTTATGAAATACATGATATTAATGTTTATTCTTCACCTACTTGGAAATCTGCTAGATACCTAAGTGTTTAAAGAAAATAACGTTGACAAACACCAGGAGCTCAGCTGTTGAGCATTACACACAGTTCACCATGCAAAGATAATTAAAAAGAAATTCCATTCTTTACTCACATCTGTCAAAGAACATTTTAAACATCTAATTCATAATCACAACAACACTTCTGAATAGCTGCATTTCTCTTTTCCTATTTTTCTCATAAATCATACCATAAAGAGCCCCTCATTTGCCAACTGTTCCCAACAAATCTATTTACGAGAATGTTTTTCAAAATTTTGCAGAAGTTTTCCCTTTGCATAAAAGGTAGTTTTCCATCTCTCTCATCCAGTTTAGAAATTACTAACTCTGGATAAAATTTCTTCTACTGAGACAGGAGGTGTGAATATAGTTTGCAATGAAAAGATTCTCTTTTGTGGGGAAAAATAGATATTTTTAAATGCCTCAAATAATCTTGCTCCATATGAGTACAAATGGTTTGGACAAGTTTTACAATTTCAAAATAAACACACTTAAATGAATTATTTTTCTTATTCTGTTTACAAACTTAGGTGATCAAAAAATATCAAATGATAAGATCTGTCTAGATTTTGGAAATTCTGTTTTCCTGAAGTTGTGCTGATGTTTGATTTTTATTAACAGGTGAAACTGGATGAGTTCAATGGAATTTCTGGGAGTAAAACTCAATGGAAGTGGGATTCTACTGGATATGTAAAGTGGCTATTCAATGCTTCAGTGGAGACCAGGAGTTCCATATAAAACAAACTCATAAAACATCTGTTGAATTTTACTTCTTTATTTGATGTCATTATCTGAGTCAATGGCTCTGTAAGTCCCCATTTGCATAAAGACAACTCTTGTGCTACCAACTAAGAGGTTTGATGCTCCACTTTTGAAATATTAACAGAACTATTCACTAAACAACAAATGCAATTTTCTACTTTTACCAGGTTTTCAAGGGCTTTTAAGAAAGAACTGTTAATAGGCTATTACCACCTTTTCCTTTGCTAGAAGAACATTAGATAATATGAAAGAAAGAATAGTTGTAGACATTTTCACTGTGATAAATATGGGTATTTGAACAACTGCAAAACCTTTATATACTTAAAAATTTTAAATGCACATACGATGAATATCACCCCATTATGAATATTTAGGCACTTAATGACCCAGATTCCTTCCATTTCATAAGACAGAATAAGTAATGTACGTTTTCATACACCATTAATTCAGGTGACTCAGGTGCCATTTAGTAAATTAATACTTAAGTGCACTAAATTTGATATACTTACCTCAAAGTGAATTTAATGAAATAAACATCCATTTGCTTGTTGCTCTTATTATCTATCATGTTCTTGCCTGATGCTTGTGTTACTGAAATCTGATTTTTTTTTAATTTGAAAATACAAGGGCCTCTCATATTGTTGGACTTGCCATAAACAGGACTGAATCAGGTTCCTGAGAATAGATAATTATTACTTATCACAGGCTTTATCTTTTAATAGGGGGCAAGTGAATTTATTAAAGCAAAAGGAGAAAAATCCATCTCAAATCAGCTTAAAATAAAGAACTAGAGTGGGAGATGGAATTTATTGACCCCCTCAACTGAGAAAATACTGACATAATATGAATAATTATTGACTCTAGCCATTTCATTATTATCTACCTTATGTTTCTTTTTAAAGTTATTTATTTAAAAGAAAATGATACAGACTTTATTGATAGATTTTTGACAGGGTCTTGCCATGATGGGACCCTCTTGTCCCAGTTTCCCAGTTAGGACCAAAGACACATGCTCTTACACCAGGCCTGTTTAGGTTGGCTGGGAACTGAACCAGGCTTCACATGCAGCTTCAGTTACTAAGTAGTAGTGTTTTAGAAGCATACACCCCGTGGCTAAGTCTATGCTATGATTTTTAAAGATTTTTTTTCTTTTCTATATGCTGATTTTAATCTCAGGCTCTTCATGCTGAAGATCTATGCACAGTGTCAAAGATAATAGGTATTTCCTATCATACATCACTGCTTATCAAAGACAGTGAACGTAACATGTTTTCTCTGCTAGCATCAGCGAAGATAGCTTTGTATTACTATAACCAGTTAGTATAGCAAGTAGGTATTGACTTTCATTGACCAGGGGACAGCAATATGCTTTCCCCTAGAAAGAAGTATGAAGATAACGCTTCGAATGGGTTGAAAGTGATGGGAGTGCAAGCTACTATAAAACTGAGTGCAAAATAAAAACAAAAAAAATCAGAAGTCTGATTCAGGGTCCAATATGTGATTAATAGTCTAACATCAACCATACATTAAAAAGAAAAAGAAACCCAACCAATGTAATAATGGATAAAAAATACACATTTTAAACTGTTCTTTTTGAAAAGTTGGGTATTCCCCATACATTAAATTCAATTTCATGAATGTAAGTTTTGAACTTAAAATTGTTCCTCTTTTTCTCATAATTGGAAACACAAATATCTAATGCTCTAGTTACACATTTATAGGACAGGAACCCCAAATCCAAGATGGCTCTTGCATATTGTTTACCAGTCCCCAAGAAATCACTCAGAGGTCCAGCACTGAGAGAGTTGAGTTTACTCACATTGGACAAAATGCACTAAAATGAAGGCTGGTCAGTGAGTGATCCCTGCCATTAGGAAGCACAGGTTTAAGTTATATACTTTAATGCCAAAGTACACAGAAATCTACCATCGATTGATGGAGAATTCCTGCCTCTAAGACAGAGGTGTGATTTTTACACACACTGTCTAAGGATTACAATTAAAGGTTATCTTATCGATTAACAGAACCAGCAGGGTATGTTTAAGTTTTAGTTCCTCTGATCTTGTGATATTGACATGAGAGGGTTGCACATGTCTCCAGAACAGACCAATTGTAGACAAATTCCATAAGGTAAAAGCAATGATCACATGATGCTAATGAGCCCCAGCTGTGGCCTTTAGCTAGGTTTTTCATTGTATAGCCCATAGGCACAGAATTCTATATAAAGTATTAAATTAAGGGAGAAATAAGCCTTTACATGATACAAATTTTCATTTTGTTAGAGTATATTTATTAATCCTTTCCATGACTGAAAGAGAGACAGAGATAGAGAGACAACATCCATAATGAAGTCCTAATGCTGTGATCCACCTCCAGGCTCTTCCAGTCCTGTATCATGTGCACCTATGCCTGGCATGCTCAGGGAAGTCTCTGGACACAAACCCAGGACCTTTCCAGGTAGGGTTGGTGTTGCAGAGCATTTCCACTGTCTGCAAAAGTGATAGGGATTTTCTAAGCTTGGGGGCTAAAGAGTAATTAAGGGTTAAATGAAATAACCATGACCCATAAATTGAGACAGATAAAACTGCTTATATCCTTATCCTTTATTCTTACTAGAATCTACTTATATATAATTTGGTGAAAAAGTTTTAATTTTTTTTTTTTTTGGAGAGGTTTTCACTATAGGGTGCGTGCGCTCGCCAGACAGACAGAGAGAGAGAGAGAGACAGAGAGACAGAAAGCAAGAAACCACCCCCCAGGAGGGATGGCCACACCACAATCCCTTCTCCTCCGTTCTCCTCTCGGGATCTTGGGCACGCACGCACATGAACCTGGCATGAGTTTTAAGCCACCCGGCCCGGGACACAAACCGTGGTCGACTACGTGGGAGTCCAACGACATAACCATTATGCTAACTGTTGGTCCCATCAAGTTTTTAATTTTTCATTTCACTGACATCTCATTGCATAGAAGAAGAGTCAACAACATTTTTTATGTTTCCTTTTCAGTGGCATATGACAATTCTTTAATCTGGGTATTAAGATTCCATAAAGTGGGACCAACAAATGGCATAATGCTTACGTCACTGAACTCCCATGTAGTAGAGTGCAGTTCAAGTCCTGGACCCAGCTGGGCACCTGTGCATGTGTGCCCAAAATCCCTAGAGGAGAATGGAGTTGAAGAGATTGCAGCGTGGTCTTAGCTCCTCGGGTATAATTTCTTTCTGTCCGAGTTTCTCTGGTGAGCTGGTAAGTATACATGCCCTATAGCAAAAATCTCTCAAAAAAAAAAATTCCAAAAAGAGACAAGTATCTTTCTTGTAGTCTAAAAAAAAATAGTAAAAGATCATCAAAATATTTCCAAAGGGGAACCAGCAGTTAGCGTAATGGCTATGTCGCTGGACTCCCACGTAGTCGACCGTGGTTTGAGTCCCGGACCCAGTGGCTTAAAACTCACGCCGGGAGCGTGTGCGTACGTGCCCAAGATCCCGAGAGGAGAATGGAGGAGAAGGGATTGCGGCGTGACCATCCCCCCTGGGGGGTGATTTCTAGCTTTCTGTCTCTATGTCTCTCTCTGTCTGTCTGGCGAGCGCACATACCCTATAGTGAAAAAAAAAAAAATTTCCG